CCCCAAAACCCCAAAACCCCAAAACCCCGCTTTAACTTAAGATAAAGATACAAGTGAGGTAAATATATTAATGAATTTCGATTGAGACAGTGGGTTTATTTCTTTTTTTTAATATGCTAAAATAAAAATAAAATTACATAAAGTTAAAATATGGATAGTCCTTAACCCAGAGATGGAGGCACAATGATGACCAATAAATTCGATCGATCAGTCTTGAGTAATACTGCTCGATCTAAGAGCTATTTCGGTAATAGCTACACTGAAAAGAACCCAATGAATACCTCCACTGCTAAGCAGATGTTTTCTTTTTCAAAGGACAGAAGGTTTCAACATTATAGGTAAAGGTAATCATAATTTGCAGAACATTGTATATTGTAGTTAAAACCCAAATATATCTTATGAGATACCAGGAGCCTATGATAGACTAAAATAGGAATCAGGAGCTGGAAAAGCTTTTGGCTACACTTAAAGATTCAAGTATTATCCATCTCAAATAAGTAAATTAATAATTAAGATGAAAAATTTTAGAGCATGGTGATCTCCCATCTCCTGCAAGATATGACATCAAAGGATAATTTTCACCATAGAACAAGAGCTAGTCATTTTCATTTGGATTGGCAAGAGAACAAATGAATAAGATGCATATTTAAGCAATAGAAAAGGTTGGCAAAGATAAGTTACCAGGACCTGGACAATATTAGCCACCAAAGACGTTTGGAAATGATGGACTTAAATTTTCAATGAGACCTTTGACTGGTTACGACTTAAGTAAACTTTAGATATTTTGAATGTTTAGTCATGCTTAATAAATAAAAAGAGCTTCCTGGACCAGGATAGTATCAGCAGCCAGATTTAGTAGGGCATTTGAACTCAACTAAATTTACATCTATATAAAAAGCTCCATAATCCCCATCATTCCCAAAAGCTAAGAACAGATTTGAAACTCCTAGTAATAACTCTTAATTTTCTCATATATTCTACTATAGCATTTAAAAATGTAAACCCAGGGCCCGGCAACTACTCACCAAAGAACAACTTGAATGAGGATATATACTCCCTATATAAGTCTTTTGGAAAGACTTTATTTGGAAAAGATGAGAGAAAAGCCCTAGAGGATAAACTTTACTAAAATGTAGAGTTTCCTGGACCAGGAAACTATCAGTTACCTACAGAATTTGGAAAATATGATCCTCCTACCCACCTCACATTTAGCCCTGGGGATACCAAAAGATCTCACACTGCGAATCTTGAAAGATGATGATGAGGAATTATTTATTATTATACTCAGGAAGAAAGCATATTTCATTATTATTGTATTTCGAATCTTAACTGACCTATTTCTTTCTAAAGGGGTTTTGGGGTTTTGGGGTTTTGGGG